TAAAACGTGTGACACATTAAATAAATTATTACGCTAATATAACTCATCATATATTTAAATTCACAAATATTTTGTAGTGGTCGCCAATGTATCCGATGAAGAAATGCAAGAACATTATGACAATTTTTTTGAAGATGTTTTCGTTGAGTGTGAAGATAAATATGGTGAAATAGAAGAAATGAATGTCTGTGACAATCTTGGAGATCATTTGGTTGGAAATGTTTATATTAAGTTTCGAAGAGAAGAAGATGCAGAACGAGCGGTAAATGATTTAAACAATAGATGGTTCGGTGGAAGACCAGTTTATGCTGAACTTTCACCAGTTACTGACTTCAGAGAAGCTTGTTGTCGTCAGTATGAAATGGGGTATGTATTTATTTAACACTAAACATACTGCGACCAGTCAAATGACTAGTTTTTAAATTTGATTTAAAATTCTGTATTTTCTTTGGTTCATTTAACTTTTTATGAATTTCTATATTGTCCGGTTAAACAGTTTTTCAATTTTTGGCTTTCCTTTTGTTTCTGCTTCCAATAAGAAAAATGTATCATCTAATTTGTTTATCTTTATTTTCTAACCAGTTATTTGACTGGTTACAGTAGGACTAGATATATACAAAGTATCAGTATGTTTAGTGTAAAACATGCAATCCGTACACTGATTGTTCCTGTAGTCATTGTTTATTATAACATACTTGTGGTGATAATTGTTTCAGTGAATGTACTCGTTCTGGATTCTGCAACTTCATGCACTTGAAACCTATTTCTCGAGAATTACGACGTTATCTATACAGCCGCAAAAAGGGTGGTAAGGGACGATCGAGATCACGTTCGCGGTCTCGTGGTCGTGATCGCAAGAGAAGATCACGTTCTCGTGACAGAAGATCGAGATCCAAAGATCGTCGAAAAGGTAGAGACGACAAAGGTAGAGATGGACGGTCTGGGAGGTATTAATTGTAATTTCTAATTGTAATAATTCCTGATAGAAAGATCTAAATCGATCTTATTATCCTTTTGAATGTCTTGTTGAAGAAGGTGTACTTCGTTGTACATTTTAAAATTTTCATTCACTTGTTGGTTAAAAAAACATGAATAATATTAGTTTCTTCACTTTAACATTAAT